GTAATGATCGGTATTTTGCTTGCGGAACATAACGACCAAATTTGCATTGGCGTACGATAATAATAACAGATTCATAAAATAAGTTGGGAATGTACAATGCTTATTTAAATTAAGTTTTTCGGGGATTACATTTGATAACCATTTTTACACATCACGCTTGTTCAAGTGGCTTGTGATACAATAGGGTTCGAACATGTGGTCCGATTATGACCAAGTCTCCCACATCGAGTGCATTTCCTCAGTTGGGTAGTGGACTCGTATCTAACTCGCTTACGTCACGTCGGTGGTCTACCTGGAGGACGACGTACAATCGGTGGCAAAATATGAGTGCCTAGGATTTCATTTGGAACAACCCAATCCACTTCCCGTGTAACGGGATATATGATTTCCATATAGGCACCCCTCCAGTATTCCGATGTATAGTACGGAGAGCATAGATCGTATAATGACTTACCACTCAAGGTAGCACCACGAGTTGCATGAGCACATTGTATACGATTTAGTTGAAACTCACGACATGTGCACGTGTTATTAGAGAAGTCCACTATCTCCGTATCATTGGATATTCCAACCTGGGTCAAGCTGTTTGTCAACGCATGGGCTCGAAGCCTAGTACCAGCTTCAAATGTTGTTTGTAACTCGTTCTCCATCCTTGACGACAATTTAGTCATGTGGCTGCATTGGTTCGACGTTCGTAAAACCACTTCTGCATTGTTTTACGAATGTGCTCGACCAAACACGTGATTGGCAACAAACGAGCATGTCTCAGCATTGAGTTCAATGATTTTGCGTTGTTGTTTGTCATAATGTTGTATCGGTCACCCACGAATAGTGCTCATGACCAGAATGAAAAATCGGCTTTCTCCAAATACCTGTAACATCTTTCACTGACCCTACGAATCTGTCTTATTAGTCATTCGAACTCTTCGATTCGATAAGTTGTAGCAGCTCGTTTGAACAGGAATATTGAACTTACGTTAAAGTGCCGCTGAATTAGGTTCTTCTCCACATGCCACATACAACAACAATGACGAGACAAAGGAAATAAATGAGTAATAGCTCTTACGATACTTCTTTTCCTGTCCGAAATAAATATAAGTTCATCTGAGTCGCCTATAAGATCTTTCAAGTTAGACATAAACCACATCCAAGATCAGTTAGTTTCGAAAACCACAATCCCCCACGCTAAGGGATAAATCTGTTTGTTGGCATCTTGGGCAGTTGCCAGTAAAATTGTACTCTTATATGGACCTTTCAAGTGACTACCGTCAACGCAAACAACGGGCCTCAAGTACTGCATGTAACCACGAATGCTTGCACCAAAAGCTAGGAAGAAGTAATGGAATCTATCGCGCGAATCAAGTTCGATGTGGGTTACTGTCCCTGGGTTATTCTCACCTAGTACGTGACAGTATGAAGATAGTTTCTGAAAACTGTCCTCCGGTGTCCCATGCAGCATATGTAAAGCGGCCACCTTCCCCCTACGTGCCTTGCTGTAACTTATTTGGACATCGAGTTCACGTTCCATGTCACGTGCAATAGTGCTCGGATCATACAATCGGTTCGGATTATCCAATTTTTCCAAAATATGCTCTGCAATTACAAAACTCGTCACATGTTGATGCGTATTACTATGAAAATCGATGGAACATGTGTGCACATTATTGAATTTACGGATCACAAAGATTGCAGACTGCTTCATAGTAGAAGCACATAACATCCACTTGCAACTGCTGTCGGTGCATACAATGGTTAACATCTTCATGCTTGACCGGCTCACCCGAAATTGGAACTTGTCTTTCAAAGCAAGTGCACGAATTTTCGAGTACAACTCTTTCTTGCTGAAGAATATTTCCTTTTCGGCAGGATCGGATGTAGTCACAGTTCTCATAAATTCATATCCATCCGAATCGTTGGAATGTGACAAAGAGTGCTCGTCGTCGACGTCAACAGAATTAGCAGCCTCTAAACTAGGTGATGGGTTATCCAAGTTCTCATCTAATGGTGTAGTCCCGTTATCATACTCATGTGTTTCAAGTGCATTATTGTTTGAGACACTATGCATTCGATTCACCAAATCATGTTCCACGTTTTGCAGAACATCTACCGCGGCAAACGAAAGATCTTGAAAATTTGCATCCCTTCCCATGTCAACACTTAGGAGATCGGATTCCAAAATAGTAACGCAGATAGCACTTTCCTTATGCACTGATACATACCAATTTAAGTCTTCATTGTCGCATATTTCAGTCGGAGGTATATTCAAGTTAGGGACTTTAAACTTCAATTCAATTTGAGCGTGGGGATCAAGAATACCAAGTTTCTCCTTCAACCTTAATATAAGTTCGGCTACGGTAATACTTGTTAGCACCAGAATGGAAGTAGTTTTGTCCCCTCTCCACTTCCATTCGTCATCCGCATGAACAAAATTTTCCCCATGCGACACGATGAATCTCAAATGATTATTCATACCTGAAATGTTGGGATTGCAATGGTAACAATTCAGAATCAATATGTTGGCATTTAATAGCATGAAAGTCGCACTTCATAATACGTAAATCAATACAATAACAAAAGGTCAAATCAAGGGTTTGTATCGTTTTGAAGTATCCAAATTAAAAGTAAAATTGTATAACTCGACAGTTTCAAAATGTCAGGTTCGACATCTCAAACGTCTAACCCGACGATTTGTAAATGTCGAACTCGACAGCTTAATTGTCGAGAATGTCGGGAAGCAGACGACAGTGAATTTCTCAGATTTCTTCAACACATCATATTAAGTGTGGTCATTATTATTCACCTACCAAATGACAAAATGAAAATGGCATATTGGCCTTGTCATTAAAGAGACCTTAATGGTGGTAATGGAAGAAATTACTCAATGGTGATAATGACATTTTATTAAGGATTCAAAAAAATCAAATAAATGAATGCATAATATTTTCAAATTAGTTTCAAATAAATATGCACATGTTGTATTTAGTATGTACAAATACAAAACTATAAAAGTAAAATAAAATAATTTGTAATTGCTAACCTCTCAAACTGGATGTAGAATACAACACAAATGTCTTCTTGATCAATGAAAATAAAGAAGATGGAAAAGAGGTAGGGTTTCTTGTTTATGTTTCGTTTTCTAATTTATTTGGTAATTTTTTATTAACAAAAAATCATATTAATCAATAAAATATACATTTCTCCATGTTTTGTATATATAAATTAAACGATCACATCAAGTCAATGCTTTTCCTTCAAATCAAGCATTTAATGCTACTAGAAATGTGTGATTAAGGATAATTTGGACTTTGGACCCCAAATATATGACATTTTTGCTCACAAAAAGTGAAAATGACAATTTTTTTTAACTTTCATTTTTGGTGACATTTTTGTAAATTCCCCATTATTTAATTAGAATACACCTCTTTCTTCAAAGTGAAAAGGACAAATCATATCTAATTTCCAAAGTTTAAAACAAAGTCATGCATTTGTTACGTGTTGAAATAATTATTATTCATTGAAATTTCATGTTGGATAAATTGTTTTTCACTAGAACTCCATGTCAGTCAAAAAATGATCCAATTGCATGCCAATATATCCTTGCATATTCGCACCTCGATTGTCGAGGTACAATCGAAAGTGTAAGATGTTTCGATCGTTGAAACGATAGATGTTTTGATCTTCGAAGCGTCATTCAACAATAAAGCACGCATAATCATAACGATAGGTTAAAAACACAACTTAAGGTGCGGGCCACCAAAAGGTTAAAAGGCCTTGGATTTAGCCTAGCCATAAGCAAAAATGTTAGTGCGAAAATATTATACAATCAATGCATAACTTCGTTGCCAATTCATGGAAAAAAATGAAAAGAAAAAGTGCACATAATTTGTTTTCAGAAGTGTCACAAAAGCAAAGATTCAAACAAAAAATTGAAAATTTAATTTAATCGTGACTTTCAACACAATAAAAATGATAAAAAAATTCCTAAAAGTGTCCCTAAAAGGCATCATTTGCAAAACTAAAATGGATGAAGAATCTAGAATCCAGACTTTCACTCTTTAAAAAAGTCATATCGGATCAAGGCCAAGTTACGATCCTCTTTGAAATCTTAACATTCTCAATTTGATGGGGCAATTTTAGACTAAAATAAACGTTGGAAACTCCATATTTCTTCTTTTCACAAAACCTTTGGCTCCTATAAACCCCAAAAAAAATCCAGAAAAGGGACAAAACCTTAACAAAATTTCGCCAAGAAACTTCACTTGACTTTTCAAAAATATTTTCTTTTCTTAACGTCAACACACTCAAAATATTCAAATCAAAATATCTTACTCATACATGTCTAGTGGAAAAAGGGGATCAAAATTTTCATCAATTAGAAGTGAGGGAATCTCTTGAGTAAAATAGCTTCTAGTAAGTTATCCGTAGACGGAGGTTTGCTTTCTATTTTTTTCTCCTGCTGTTTGCTACTCCGATTCTTCTCTTTGATCATGTCCTTGCTTCTCAAAGAAGGGACCTATTTATGCCTAAATCACGAATAAATGAAAGTTTCATTATAGGACATTTTCAATTGTAGCCATTTTCTTATTACGACTAAATTCCAACACTTCATATAAAATAAAGCCCTATTAGTTACATATTATTTAAAATCCATTTTTTTTAAAACTTATTTTTAACTACACATTTTATCAATAAAATGAAATTGTATTTATAACAATATTTTTTTCTTCATTTAATTACACATTTTCCTAGTAAAATCATTTTACAAAAAATCTACTTCAAACGTATACCCGAATTAAAAAATTGTTTAAAAAGAAATAAAAAATAAAAAGAACAAACAATGGCAATACCGGCCGGGTGCCAAAGCTGGCCGGCAAATAAGTGAAGCGGCGCACGTTAGAGACAACCCCTCTCACCCACGGAACATTTCAAAATTTTCCAAACGTGATTCCGTCATCCCGCCGGGTCCCACCTAACTTTACAAAAATCTCAATTTCAACCCCAAATTCAAAATTACACCCAAATTAGAGTCCCTTTCGCAAATTATTCAATCTTCAAGGGCTCATCATTTCAAAGATTACACAAGTATGCCTTCAAAGTGAAACCAGAACAAAGATCAATTCGAAAACAAACCCACCCGAATTTTACGCGCAGCGAGGGAGGAGAGTGCGTGTGTGTGATGACGATGGATAGGGAGAAAGAAAGAGAGATAGAGCTGGAGAGTGCGATGTACACGAATTGCTTGTTACTTGGTTTGGATCCGGCCATAATCGGGATTGGGTCGAACAACGGGACTCCTCGGGTTGGACTATTCCGTCATTCCAACCCGAAATTAGGCGAACAGCTTCTATACTTCATCCTGTCCTCTCTCCGTGGCCCCATTCAATCCGCCAAAGTACACTTGCGATTTTTATAGATTCAGATTTCTACACGTATAATATGTTGTTTTTGAGGGTTTTATGTGTTTCGTTTTATTGAAAAGTCTTTCGGCATTTGGATCTTACAGGACTTCGACAAGGTGTGGCCGATTTTTGATTCGGCCCAGTCCCGTGATTTTCGAAAGGTAATTCTGGTCTTGACTTATTGAATTTCTCAGATGTAAATCTATATATGTAACTTGGTTGAACTAAAATTGAGTTTTAACTGGGAAACTTAGGTTGTGCAAGGGATTATTAGCGAGCTCGAATCGCAAGGGGCGTTGCCGAGGAGCAATTCGAGGGTTTCGTCACTTGCGACTTGCTGTGGACCTAGGTCTGTGTGTTAATAGTTCTGTTTACGTTTCGGTTGATTACAATGTACTTTCAGCTATTTAGACAAAATATTTTTTCCGAGATTTTGATTGAACTTCACTAGTATAGTCATGTTACTACGATCTCTTTAGAAGTTTGTCAGGCTTTTGTTATTTTGGAAGTGTCACCTTGTCACTAGTTCCAATGTGGTGAAAACAAGAACATATACTTGGATGCTAATTAAATAATCATTTAATCGACACCTAGGCAACTATCCTCAGTTATATTATTAACCTGCAATTGTGGATGTGGAGTTTTCTTCATCTATTACACTTGCTAGTACTTTCACTCTATTCTACTTATTCAGAAACAATACTGGATTTTGACAACTATTTCTGATTTTTAAACCTATTTTGCATCGCTCAAGAAATGCATTATGTGATGAAGTGTAAAAATTTATTTAGACATATTGCTTATGATATTTTCCATTTCAATGAGAGTATATACCACTAATTTACTTTTACAAGCAATAACCTTCTGGTGGGTGGTCTTCTATCACAATTCTTTTTCCAGATTGTCTTTTAGTGGTGATGTTATATTCGATATAAGTTTTGATTTTGCTCCATTTGTTTTCTTATTTGAAGGACATGGTATTCTGAAGGAACTTATTTGATTTTTCCACTTTGGAGGCATAATATTTTTGGTTTTCACCTTTCTTTATCACGTTTCTATGTGTTTTTTCCGTTTTACATATTGCTGGAACCATAACTGAATATGAAACTCTCAGCAGTTGTAGTCTAATGGCCACTTTATATACGTTAGTCCACAATAAATTTTTTGTGCTAAATGCAGATTCGTCGAACTTCTGTGGCAACTTTCATTGCATGCTTTGCGAGAGGTTCATAGGCGAACATTTGCAGCTGATTTATCATCCAACCCGCTGCCTGCTCCATTGACAGATGTAGCTTTCTCACATGCGGCTACATTACTTCCTGTAACTAAGGTAATTCTGTTTCTGATCATTTTTCCCCTTAACTGAGAGAGAAACGATTTTACTGATTATTGGACAGTTAGTGATCCACAAGCACTCCCTTTTTTGAGATATTCATGGGAGCATGCGTTCTTAGAATTCCTTGATATATTTGGAGAACTATTTTGGTTTGTATTACAAAAATAAAAAGCCGTTATCTGTTGACCATTTTGTACCTATTATTTTCATTTTTACAAATCATTATTTTCTTCTCTTGTAATGATTTCTTTTATTGTCTGTACAAAATAACTTAATTTGGTAGTGATTCTGAGTTTCTGTTTCAGTTCTGATAGTCACTGAGCATGGTCATTCAATTTTACCTTTATTTTTCGCCTAATTAGTATTGATGCTGCAATGAGTTGTCAATGGAATGGTACTGCTGATTTATGTAAATATGTGAATGAATTATGTTCTCTGCCTATCTTACATATAAGGCGAAGAGCGTTTATGCTGAGTATTAGTTTGAGCTAGTAGGTGCTAGGAGCTAGAATTAATCATCAAAGTTTGATAACAGTCCTTGATGTTTTGGTAGTGAATAAATCTAGAAAAACATTAGCCTTCTTTTTCATACATTTGCTATTTTACTTTATTAGAGTGTTCAAACAGTTATATATACCTCAGACTTTTTCAATTTATTTATTAATAGGGTAGGATAGCTCTTGAAAGAAGAAGATTTCTGAAAAATGCTGAGACAGCAGTGCAGAGACAGGCCATGTGGTCCAATTTGGCTCATGAAATGACGGCTGAGTTTCGTGGTCTATCTGCTGAAGAGGTAGATAATAATTATATTATATTGGATTATTGGAGGGCTTAACAGTTGGAATTTTTTTGCACGATTTTTTAAGTGCGAGTTTTTTCTTGCATCTATTTTTCTTCATATTAGGCGTATCTACAACAAGAGCTTGAGAAACTACATGATTTAAGAAATAAAGTGAAGTTGGAAGGTGAACACTGGGATGAGCTCGTATCTAGCTCAAGTCAGAACTCTCATATGGTTCAGAGAGCTACTCGCTTGTGGGACTCTTTGTTATCTCGCAAAAGTAAGCACAAAAACTTGCATTTCTTTTAATTTAACCCCATTTGGGATCCACTAAAATTATTTTTTGAGGAAAAATGTATTTTGGAATAGTGATTTTTTGGAGAACGTGTGGTTAAAAGATAAGGAAAAGTTTTGGATTTATGTGAAATATTATTTTATTGAAAAATGTGTGGTTGAAAAGAAGAAAGAGAAAAATGCATTTTGGAATAAAATGGAGCCCAAATAGTGGCTTAATGTTATGTCAATTTTACTTGATCTGATTCCAGTTGAATAAAAGTTTGTATCTCTTAAATCAAATGCCATTCAGGATTTCTGTTGTATACATCTAATGGCAGGCTGAAGTCTTTTACTAAAAAGAAGTGTTGTACATTAATTTCTTTGGTTATGCTATAATTTGTGCTTATTTTATTTTATTTATTTATTTATTTTTGTTTGCTTTGGCTTAGATGAAATTGAACGATATGCCTCCTTTAATAGTGTGAGGTTATTGTAATTTTGATGCACGTATCACTATTCTGACACGTTAAAATCTTTTCTTCATTTAGTTTCTCTTCCTTTAGTTGGATGTAGTTACTGGATCACTGGCAACTGGGAAAAAGTTTCCACTGGAGAAACTGCCAGGTAGTGCTGTATACATGGCTAAGTAATGGAGTATTTTTCTTCAGCTTGGACCATCAAAATTTGTTGGAGTTGAATGTCGAAATGCAAATTCTATGCGTTCGGTCCTTCCTGGTCCATCATCTTGTGACCGAAAGGAAATATCAAGCTTTCACAGAACATGATTACCTGTAGGGGATTACAATTGGTGCTCGAATGAACATATTAGGAACAATGCCAATAGTAATTGGTTTTTATTTGGGTTTTTTATTCTGTATGGTGGAAAAGACCACTTGTTCTGTTGGTATTGTCATTCGTGAATAGTTGCTGCGTTGGAAGATCTTCAAGCACTGCCTCATGTACATCTCTGACATGTCATGCCAACTGTTACCTCCATGCTGGTTTGACTGAAAATTTGAAAATTTCTCAGGCATAAGTGGTTTTTACTCTGTTTAGACCATTCTTATCTGTTTTGTTTGCAAATCTAAATGAAGCTTAGTGCATAAGTATAATTCCTGGTTATTAATATAGCAATTTCCAACTAAATTACCAATGAAAGTTATATTACGCACATGACACTGAGCGTGTTCCTTAATACATACATATATTTTTTCTTATATAGGTCAGCATGAGGTTCTTGCTTCCGGTCCAATTGAGGATCTTATAGCTCACCGCGAGCATCGGTAATGTCCTTTACATGCTTTTGGGTTTTACTAATTACCAATTGTCTTAAGTGACCAACTTATATTTGATTTCTTGTTCCAGGTATCGAATCTCCGGTTCATCTTTGTTAGCAGCAATGGATCAAAGCTCTTTAGTTCCATCTGCTAATCAACCTCCATCACACCTAGATGATGAGGAAATTGAAGGCTCGAAAGAAAATGTAAACAAAGGGAAGAACAAAAGTAAATTAGATTATTCTCATGCAGAAGGAAATGATGAAAAAATTTCCCGAGTAGATGAAAGAAGCGTGAGAGGGCAGCCAACTGTTGATATAGCAGAAGTTTTGAGGCGTTGGACGCATGCCTTGCAACGCATACATAAACAATCACTTCAATTGGTATGTTGTTTTGTGCTGATCAAGGAGTTTTGCTTCGGTCGAGAACAACTTAAATTCTGTGGGTGCTTGCTTTTATCAGTGCTCAGACTGGTGATGATCCAGTCATTCCCCCTTATCAGTAATTGTGTTCTGGAACTTTTTTTGTGGAATATAGTCAATGCCCTCTTTTGGTGGTGTGCAGGCTTAAGTTTGAAATAACGTTTGATTAGGATACATGGTGATTGGTGCAAAATGGGTGTTAAAAAATTGAGCCTTTATCTACCCACTCTTGGCTTAGAATTCTGGCCATGTGTAAATATAGTTATGGCATAGTACAGAAAAAAGCTAAGCCTGATTTATAATGTATTTGGGGTTGTCCTCTTGAATCCTTTTTCATGACTATTTGATTCAGACTGCATCTATGGAAAAGTCCAATGAAACCAAATACACTAAAGTTTATATCACGCCATCCCTTGTCCAATAATTGTTGTACCTCTTACCCATTTTACCTATTCTTTGCAAGTTACACCGACTCTTGTCCTACGTTTCATATCTAATAATCATGGTAAAATATCAAGTATATTGTTTTCTTTCTTGACCTAGATGCACATTAACATTTAATCTTTATTGGTAAAATTTACCCATATTAATGTCTCTCGCTCATGGTGCACCCATGCAACACTGTACGTTTGTAGACGTCATAATCTTGCATTTGTATAATTACAAACTGTCCCGAAATTTAACTTTTTTTAACATTTATGCTTGTGAAATATTCTTACTTGCGCTGCTGAAATGCTTCTTCAAACTTAAGCGTCGTTGATGTAAAGATTGCTCCTTGTGTATTGTAATATCATTTCTCACCTTTAAATTCATCTACAAATTGCATGCTGATCTATATCACATTATGATTTTCCTAGGCAAAAGCCAATGATGGAGAGGGTCCAGAGCTCCTACGAAGTATGCATAATGGTGGTACTGGTAGTCACGCCGAGTCTTTGGCAGCAACACTTGCTGAACATCAGCAGCACCTGGATAGTATACAGGTGAATAATGAATATATTGGCCCACTCAGTCTGTTTCCATTGATGAGGTTAGAAGGTCAATTTAATGAATGGATGTACCTTGAAACTTTCACGGAGCGTGATGAGCAAAGTTTTGAGTTAAAACCTTCTGAAGCTTTTATTCTATAACTGGATATAGTGGTGTGGCTAAGTCAAACGTCTCCTATTGAAACTTTTTTCTTATACGAGTTAGGGTCTTTTGCAGGTGCTAATAGATCAACTAAAGGATGTTGCTCCGGCCATACAGAATTCAATCTCAGAGCTTACGGAGGAAGTTAACAGTATATCGTCCCCTCTCTCCCCTGTGGGTAAACATCATGGCAGATTGAACTCGCCTATCCAGGCACAGGGCAGTGGAAGGATATTGGTATTCTCTCTTTCATTTTTATGTGAATCATTTTCTGTAGAATGCAAGTGTATGATTTGGCTGAGTTTCTCAGGTTGCTTCTCTGATTAAATTAATTGTAATGGCCAGGAAAGTGGTACTGATGATTTTGCTGAAATGACCTCAAGATTATCATCTTTGCAGCTTGAAAAAGGATCAGCTAGCCCCCCTGCTTTAAAATTGCCACCGCTGTTTAGTTCTGCACCAAATTCTTCTGGTAAAAGTGGGAACATGCAAAAACGACAGAATATACCACAAACCAACCAAGTGGAAAATATTTCTGACAAGAAGTCTTTAGAACAGCCTCTCTTAAAGAGTGATATGGATAACCCACCATATGGTTTGTGTTTATTCCGCATTTCCTATATTATACATGCATGTTTCAGTTAAGTGCTCTTTGTCTTGGAGTTTATTAATTTGATTTGTCTCTGTCTCTGTCTCTGTCTCTGTCTCTGCAGATGAAAATCAAATTTTCCTCCAAAACTTGAAGAGATCTGTTAGAGAAGCTGCTCTTTCATCTCAATCCTGCAACTTAGAGTCATCCCAAGACAGCCGTTCTGATGATAGCTCTGAGCACTTCTTTGTACCGCTTTCAGGGACTGGGTTTTCCCGTTTAGACCGAGATAAGAAGCCAAATTCACTAAAAAGTAGACAATTATTCACACCTCAAGCAGATCCTTCCTTGCTTGAGACTTGTGCTCCAAACAACCATTTTGGGAGCAAATATGATGGAATCGGCTACATGTTAAATGATTTGGATTCACTCGATGAGTTTGACGGTGTCAATGGCTTCCTCTCAGCGGTCGGTTCAAATTCTTCAGTTTCTGATCCAAACAGGTCATTTTATGACCTGGATGAAACTCAAGATCAAGTTTTCTCACCTCCTTTGCTGATGGACACATCGCTATTGGCTGATTCTTATGAAGATTTGCTAGGTATGTGGTTATGCCAAGTACTCTGATTTTTAGTCATTCATTTTCTATAATTTCATTTACTAATTGTGAATGAATTTGTTTGCTAGTTAAGGATTTTTGCACAATATTTGATGCATAATCACCTTTGATTTGCAGTTTATTGAATATTTACGGTACTCAATCGTAGTTTTATTTGATCCAGTCTATTTGAACTCTATTAGTTCTTTTTGGGCTTGGCTATTTTTTAAAAATATATCGTTGATGACTTATTGTTGGTTACTGGCTTCTTTGGACACTTTGCTTGTATACGTGCCTTCAAATGCAGAACACAGGAAATGAGCAGGTATAGTGTGGAAACCATTCTTCTCAGATGGAACCCTCTGATACTAAGATGGGGCCTCAGGTTAACATTCTTAGCTGCCTGTCAGTTAACCATGAGTTTTACTTCAGCTCTTGTGATAAGGGATTTTAAATTCTCCACCTCCTGGAGAAGAAAATGTAATAAGCCAATGATTGCAAATAATTGTCATGCTTTGATTCGTATTGCTGCATCCAGGTGCTTCCATTTTTTGGAATCTAGCTTCCTTTTTGTAGTGAAGTTGTACAGAATCAATATTTTTCCAACCTCTTCTTTCTTCTGTATTAGGTGGGTGATGAGTCAAATTGCTTAGAGTTTTTAACTCTGTTTTTTCGGTCAAATTTTAAAACTGTGTTTTCTTCTGACATGCAACTATGTTTAGCTTCTGTTCAACTTCTTTTTTCTTGTTTTCTTCTAAACCTTTTCACATCGTTACATTTTTATGATTCTCGCCATTACTTTTCTAAAATTCCATTGCATTCTGTTGCAGCTCCATTATCAGAGACTGAAACGGCTTTGATGGAACATTGATGTCAAATCGTTCTGATCAAACGTGCTGCTGTATCTCCAAAGAGTTCTCTTTGTGGAATTTATTTTCTTTTCATTCCGTAATTGGGAAATCCGCATTAACCTCCTTGCGCCGTACATATGATGTGGCACTTAACTGTTCTGTTCATTTCTGCTTTGGATGCTACTCTCTAGGTTATGGCATTGTTGTTTGTACAACAGGTACTCGGGTTTTTTTTTGTAGTGGGGGTGGGTTGCCTGGTCGGCTTGGCAGATATTGGACTTCCCATGTTTCTTGTCCTGTAAGAAAGACGAGGCTATGTGGAAGATGGGCATCTGGCCAAGTATCAAGTATCCGGTGATCAAGGTTCAATCTTTTTATCTATGCATATTTTTTACATTTGTAACGATTCATGCTGAGAAACCAATTTATTTATTACTTTCTTGTATTAAGCAGTAGAAAATGTTGTCTGATCACTGATGCATATTGGGTTGTCGAATGAGCATTTGTTTGTATCATTGCTTTTAAAAAAATCACTTTTCAGCTTTTCTCTTTTTTCGAAATACATTAGCATATTTTTGAGCTACTACTTGACCATTTGAGAACCTATAATTTCTGCATTAAAGTAAATAAGAAATTAAAAACCATTTGCAGTACTTTCTACTCATCATTTAGAGACGATTCTTTGGGACATGCCTTTTTTGTAGCCACATTTTTGGTGCAAAATTAATCTATTTTGCTGCAGTTTGAAGATTCCTTCCTTAGAAGCAATGTTTAACAGAAGATAAGCTATTCTATTATCGTTTATAAAAAGACATCAAATAACTTGTTTAAATTATATTCAGAAATTCTGTAAGTACTTGTGTTTAATGAAATTAGTTTTGATGGAAGTGAATATTTCTTACTTTGGTCTTGTTTGGTTGTAGTTGAGAAGGTACTCTTTAGTGGTCGGTTTTAGCATTTAAATTACGTTAATTCGAAATTAAGCTGGAAATAAATTTTAAATTTTGTATGGAGTTATCTAAAATGATTTTAAATTAGTTTTTTTTTTTTTCATCAGTGTGTGTGTGTCTTAAGTGTACAGGAAAATGTCGTGTCTACCTTTTCTTCCCTTTTTAACCACTCTTTGGGACCTCTTCCCTAGTTGCTTACCATGGCCCACCTAAAGAAACAATCAAACAAATGTTTCTTTTCCGTTGTTTTGGATTGCTTTTTTTTTTTTTTTTTTTTTTTTTGCTTGAAAAATCAGATATTGTATGTATATCCACATGTACACAAATGGACGTTAAAGTTTGAAGAAACCTTGTTACTGTTGTGTGTTGTTTTTTCTCACTTCAAAGTCAATCAGATATTGACTTGGTCGGTAGGATAAAATCAATCATGATAGTTACTTCAATAACTTTTCCTGTTCTTCATTCTAAAGTTTCGTGTTAGGTCCATTTGATTGCAAGAATGAAATTTGGGTTAAAAAAAACAAATTTCAGGGAATTAAATTGTTTAGAATTTTTTTTATTGGCAATTGTAAATTAAATATGTTTGATTGACATAATTTTTCGCCTGAAAAATGTTAAAATTTGGAATCTTTTGATGTTCAATGAACCTTATTTTTCAAGAAAATTGTCAATTAAAGGATAAATTTTTTTACAATTGTAAATAGATTTTGTTTCCATTGCTGAAATTTTTTTAAAAAAAATGTAAAGCTGGAAAAGTCAGATTTCGTCAAAATGGTGGGAATTGATTTTCTACAAATTGATGGAAAATGCATCACGTGATGGGAGGGAGGAAAGGAAATTCCCTAGAAATCACATGATAGGAGGGAGGAAAGGAACTTCCCTAGAAAATTTTTGCCATCAAACACATGTAAAAGGTGGGAAATGGAAAAGTTCCATGGAAAATAAACCATATCAAACACTGCCTTAGTTTTTTCTTTTCCTCGTCAATGTATTTTAATTGCTATTAATTTTAATAGTAGTTGCCAAAATGGTTGTTTCTTGAGATTCGAAGTGTTTTGAACTTGAAATGTTAGTGATCCATATTTCAAAAGATAATATGAGAGAGAGTACGTGATCGATTCAATTCTTTACTTGTGAGATAGAAGAGATTTATGGTTGCACTAGGGCCTAGTGCCGATGCAATTGAATGGATAAATGCTAAGAATGAACCGTTCAATTTTTATCTTTGTTGACATTTTCTGTGACTCGAGTGGCTATACTCAATATTTAGATTTTATTTATTTATTTATTTTAAAAATGTTTGGCTCATGTGTATAAATTGTTTATAAATATTCAAGCAATTTTTTATCCATTTTGAGGGGCTTTCAAGTACTACCCATTTTTATGTTTGCCAAATAACATAATCATTTATGCAAAATTCTCATAGCTGATGAAGTGGATTACTTGTTGTAGAGATGAATGTGTTGGTACCAATATGGTATGCTAGTTGTAACTTAAAGCTTTAGACAATTTAAAAGACTAATTGTGCTACATAAATGATTATGTTATTCGGCGAAGATTTGCTTGAATGCCAAATTCACGTTAGTAAGCTATTAGAATTGCATTTGTCACTTTTTCACAAGGACTGAAGTTGTTTTGTTTACGAGAGAGAAATTTCTCTTTCGATGGAACAGGTACTAGCGATGTTCAACTCCATTTTATTACTCTTCATGCCCCATAGGTTACTCTCACATTTTGAGGTGATGTGTTGACTTGATCAAAAGTTCTTGAGAAAATTCTTTGTGTTGAACCTTTCTTGATGACCTGGCTTTAATTGGTTCGAGTTGGTAGACGAAAACTTATTTGTGTAATTGAGTCGCATGTTAATATTAAATACCATTATTTATCTATAGGTCTGATGGGTCTTGTAATAATTGTGATATTGAATACCATTACACAAAATTGGAAAAAGAGCAAATTGTAAATGAAGCCAACATGTTGGTTATCTTGACTTTTGCCAGTTGCCACCAACTTTTTTAAGGAACAATTTTCTCATTGTAATAATTAGTACAAATAATTAATCAGAGATAACATCAATAAACCATCTTCAATTGTCTCACACACATATATACACTCAAAGAATATATACCAAACAAAATTAACGGGTTTTCTATAATTTTTTGATGAATTTTGTGAATTTGAATATAATTCCATAAATTTTATAAGAATCTCATTAAAAATGGTGAGATTTCAAAAAAGTTTGTGTATTTTTAAGTTTGAAAATCATCCAAATATTTTAAGATCTATCTATTAATGAAATTCTTATAAATCTAAAAGATATTGAGAATACCTATATTTTAAAGTATTTCACTGAAATTAATTAAAATCTTAATTTGGGGAATTTAGAATTAATGGATTTTCTTTTCAGTTGGGAACACTTGAATTTAGAAAGATTTTAAAATTAATTAAAATATCGATTGAATACACCCCAAGTAAGTTCAATAACTCACAAAACAAGTCATTTTGAATTGTTATTTAAATAATTAGCGCTTTAAAAATAATTTTGTTTCCCATAATGAGTGACTATTCGGTACGAATTTTTAAGAAATAGAAAAAAATATAGATTTAGGGCCTTGTTGATAGGGCTTTTGCTTCTATTTTTTGTAAAAAACTTTTTCGAGGTTTTTGACTGACTACTTATGAAAATTCTTCTAATTAAAAAATATTTTGTTTTCCAAGTGTTCAAATACAGCTTTTTACTATCAGAAATATTTTTTGACTTTTCAAAAGTCCTAATGAACGAGTCTTTCCTAGGATGGTAATAATCTAGTTTTTGAACCATTGAAAGGAGCCGGTTTTGTGTCCAATTGTTTCAATACGAAAGCTAATGACTGAAATTATCCAAAACTTAGTTAAATAATTACGACCTTTATTATAAGGGGAAAAAAATCATATTTCAGGTGCATGCTTTACACCATTTCAAAAATCAAGTATAAAGTTTGAAAATTCAAAATTTAGGTATAAATTTAATTAATTAAAATATTTATTAAATAAATATAATAAAGTCACAGTTACACGATTAATGTCATGGATTCATAATTATAGGTCACGGATTCATTAACTGGTCACATATCGTCAAATTAGTTGGTTACGAATTATTTTGTGGTTACAAATCAAAATTTTTGTTGGTCACTGATTATTTCAAAAATTATTTCGAGGCCATAGATAATTCAAATTACAGGTCACATTTATCTTTGGGTCACATGGACACAGATTATCAGTTACAAATCAGTCAAATGGTCACAGACGCCTACCAATGAAATAACAGAGAAAATGTGACCTGAATCCAAATCCGATGACTGTGAGCATACTGAGTTTTTTTAGGCCGATGCAGGTTATCTTCTACACAAACTTTTTTCATTTAAAAAAAATTCAGTACGAAGAAGAAAAGAGAAGCTTGGCATCATGTTCTTTGTGTTTCAACTTGTGCCTTTTTTTTTCCATTTCATGATTGATACGTTTGTCCAGCGCATTAAAATCCAAGAAATTTTGAAGGATGAGTGGTTTAAGAAAGACTATAAACCATCGGTATTTGATAAGAAAGAAAATACAAATTTGGACGATGTGGAAGCTGTATTTAAGGATTCTGAGGTGAATTTGCGGAGAAAATGGAATTATTAATTACCGACTATCTGAGATTAATAAAATAAATTTGTTGAAAAATACTCAATGGACTACACATCTATTGCTAACTATAGGAATATCTCGTGACAGAGAGAAAGGAGCATCAGCCAGCAGCCATGAATGCATTTGAGTTGATTTCTATGTCAAAAGGTCTCAACCTTGGTAATCTGTTCGGAAACCAAATTGGGAATAAACACGGCCCAAACCAACCGATCGAAAACACCTCTCTTCATTGCTCCACTCTGGCGTCGGCACCGACGCATTCCCTCCATCACCTTTGCAGTGGTTGAATGCATCGTCTAGAAGAGAGAAGAAAGAGATGGGAATCAAGTTTCAAAATTGGGTGAAATGAATAGGGTTTTTAATTGAATTTGGGGAATTAACAGAACCTGGTTTTTGCATAAATATACTTCACCCCTAAACGTTGAATTTGAAAGTTTAACTACCTGGTTTTATGTAATTTCCACTTATTATAAAGCGACAATAGGCTACGGTCCGAAGGTTCAATTTTTGGTTATTATAGGGAGGATATTCAAGTGAAAATTACATAATACTAGGACTTTAAACATCGGCTAATTAGATTACCACTACAAATTTTAATTATTACAACACGTTATAATTACAAAATTAAAATATACTTTCAGTAAATACACCACAATAAATTTACAATTATGCTCCTAATTCAATAAAAAATAAAAATAAAAATTGTCTTCGTCACAACTTTAATTTATAACCTCCTCATATTCTAAAATCGTACTTCACCACAAATTGAAGAATAGGTAGCCCATAATGGTGAAAATAATCAAAGATATAACACAACATGATTTTCACTAATCTGGGATACGTAATTGTCACGAATAATTAATATGTCCGAAAGGATCCTTTGAAGTTATCCGTAATTTGTTTGTGCTACCATTTTTATTCGAAATATGAATTTTTAATGTTTTCTCAATTTCATTTTTTAATCTTGGAAGTCTATTTTGGAAACACTTTTAAATGGAAATTAAGAAATTTTATCGACAACAACTTTATAATTTCACAGATAAAAATGTTTTAATAATTTATCGGACACATTTAAAACCCAACTTGAGGAAGCATTTATTATATATTTTTGATAAACTGGACATGTTTCAGAGTTGAATTAACAGACATAAATTTAATATTCGATTTATTCATATTTGGTCGGTTGTAAAATATTGTGCATAATCTTATATATTGAAATCGTCATCATTTTCCTAACATTTAGGACAAATAAATGAATTATGATAAGTTATAAAAAAAATTTAAATTTATTATGATCCTGTAAAAAATACAATATAACAATAAAAACTTCTTGTTGATTAAAAACAATTTTCGAAAATTCATATATCTCATAGACAAAAATTCACGAAAACTGACACGCCTACATATACACAAATTCATTTACAGTTTATTTATATACATGCAATTCTTGGTATGAGTGGTGCAGCCTGTGTATGTCCCACATGATGAATGCACGCAATTCATGAAACTATGGTGAGTATACATACACGTAAATTCATAAGCCTATTTAACAATTAAAAATCATAGTCTTACATATTTGTTTTAAAATCATAACAAATTTGTTGAACTCAACAAAAAAAATCAGATTCTTAATTTTCAAACTTGAAAAATAAATTGAAAAAATAAATTCATTTACCGAGAGTGAAAAGGTTATCTTGTCGCCGTGGAAAAAGGCAAAAGCCGTCGAAAAACTATAAACAATGAGATGTTGAGGAAAAAGAAAGAAAGAAATTAAGCTTCTATATTTGTGGTGTAACAATAATTTATTTAATTAAAAAGTATATTAAAATTCTAATTATGTAATTTTACTTGAGAATATTTTAGTAAATAAGAAAATTGTGGTGCGCTTAGTAAAATTTGTAGCGATAATATAGTTATCCTTAAACATCACAATTCAAAAATTAGTGTCGAAGTTTAATTATTTAGAAATCAAGTATTAATTTAATAATTTAAATATTAAATATTTCCCCCAAATTCAATTTCAATCCTAATTCCTTTCTTTCTACCGTCTATATTCTCTCCATTCTCTTTACCATAAAACACCATCGGCGACAACGACAGTGATTCACGATGGTGGTGAAACTCTGAAGCAACCTTATCGACGACTATTCTAATTGTTTTCCTCTGTGGTGTAAGTTGGAGGCATGTGGGTGTTGTTTTCTCTCTGTGGTGTAAGGTGGAGGTAGCGTCGCGATGGTATGGTGTAATGTGCTACGTGTTTGGTCTTGCTATACCATCTTTTCATTTTCCTTAATCTTTCTCTCACAGTCTCATTTTCTCTACGTGTTTTTTGAGTATGGATTAAAGGGTTTTTGTCTCCAAGATTTTCTTAAAACCACCGAAACAAAAGAAAGGCGCGCACACACAGAGAGAGATCATAAAAGTATCTTGAAAGCTAGTTTTTCCTTTTCACCATTGAAAAAGGAAGCATCAAGTGGGGTATAGTGTATTTATAGTGATACAGATGACAGGCATGTGCCATTGCTGCCTACTATCCAGTGCCTTCTGATCTTCCTTTGTGGGGAAAGTAATGTTGATTTTTTGATTTAGTGCATAGAAGTCATTAGACAACTTGTGTGGTGGTGTGGTACAAGTCGGTTGTTGTGTTTTGGTGATCGTTTTTGTTGCTGTTGGCTGTGATTATGGCGGATCGAGGTGTAATAGTGACTATGACCAACTATTTGGTTGCTCTATGACCAAGTATTAGTGGTGAATTGAGATTGTTGGTGGAGTTTTTGGTGTATGTGACCAATGATTTGGCATGAGATCTTTAAAATTCGATAATTTGTGACTAAAAAGAAATATGTGACCAATAAATGTGAAAATATGTGACCCATAGATAAATTGTGACCAGTACTTTGAATTATTTGTGACCTCGAAATAATCTGTTATCTACAAAATTTTTGATTTGTAACCACAAAATAATATGTGACAAATTAATTTGACGATATGTGATAAGTAAATAAATTCGTGACCTATCTGTGACCATTAATTATATAACTGTGACTTTATTATATTTGTTTAATAGATACTTTAATTAATTAAATATACACCTGAATTTTGAATTTTTAAACTATCTATCTGATTTTTGAATTGGTGAAAGTAATACACTTGAATTATGAATTTTTCCCTATATTCAATCCAAACTTTTGAAGATTTTTTAAAATGTGTGGCTTTTATGAACTTTTAATTGACTTTTATAAATTTGTTAAGAATTAATAAAAGTCTTTCACAGACTTCTGTAGATTTTGTTTAAAGATTTTTAAAGACCTATAAAAGTTTTTTATTTTGCAAATTCATTATATACTTGAAAAATTAAAATCTTTCTTATTACTTAATTAACATTTTCGAGAACCATGATCCCACAAAATTTTCTTGGGTAAAGTTACTAATCAAGGTCCAGTCATTCAATTTTGGCATAAACAAATTTTTTTTTTTTACATCAATTCTAAGAACATAACCAATTTTTTTTTTTCAAGAAATTAACATAATCAACCAAAAAAAGAATAAATCGATTACATGAAATTCTACATTTTGAAACAATTGCATTCACTTAAAATTGAAAAGTAATGATGTACATATAGAATATAATAAATTGACTACAACAAATGAATTGAAGAGATCAAAGAAAAATTTAGAATTGGAAGAAGAAAGACGTTCTTTTTTCTTTTGCTCTGAATCATCACAAATCTCAGAGTATATGAGAGATTTTCTTTGAGAGTTGCTTTTTTTTTTTTTCCGTCAAAAAGTCTCCGAAAGTCCAATAAGTAGAGAATTTTCCAAAAATCACAGTCTATTTGAATATCTCATGACTTACATCTAAAAAATTTCAATTAAATACCTCGTAGCTTTTGGAGATTTTTAAAAGTATGTAGAAGTCCTAATTGAATACATTTAAAGTTTTAAGGTGCATTTCATTTCCAGTATTTTTCCATGAAAAATATTTTTTTACTCAAATTTCTACTTTCTTATTGTTTGATTTTTTTTTCATGGAAAATATTTTCTTCTTTTTGATCACGTGATCATATTTTTCTTAAAATCAAGGAAATTTTTTTTTGGGGTAGGATTTTATTTTTCAGAGAATTCACTTTCTCTTTCTCTCCCCCATTTATCGACTAATAGAAAATGGACAAGTATAATATTTTTTAGATTGAAAATTAAATCAATCGAACATATTTAGTTGATAATTTCTATACAAATAAATTCTAGACAAATGAATTACCTAAAATTTATTTTATTTTCATATAAATTTTCATGTTTACAATCAAACGCACCTTTAGAAATTTTTTAAAAGTTTCAATTGAATTTAGATTTTTTAAATTCACAAAAGTTTTTAAAATCCTAAATTAGGGGTTCAACGAACTAAGCCAGGTCGGCTCGTGAGCCAAAACTCGGGGCTCGAATTCGGCTCGAACTTTTTTAAGTCAGACTCGAGTTGAGCCGAGCAAAAGCTCGATTAAAAAATCAAAACTCGACCCAAACTTTAGGTTCGGACCTTGTCGAGCCGACTTGATTTTTTTTTTTCATATATGAAGGCAATGGCACGCTGCAACAACCTACTACCTATGTAAACGCTGCCTTCACATAGGCAACAGGCTGCTGCCTAAAGGCAGCATGCAACAACATTTTTTTTGAGCTAGCTTGCCAGCCACACGGGTAGGCTCGAACGGCCTAACACCCCAGGATGGGGCTTAGCTCCAGCCTTGGCTCTATGAAATCGAGAATCGAGTCTTGAACTTTTTTCGGATCGAACCACGAACAAATGAACCAATTTGCAATTCCTATCCTAAATGATTGCAACCCTCAATTGAAATGTCATCAAAGTGTGATCAAGCGCCACAAAACGCGTGGCGAGTTATCCAAACACGAGAGTTACGAGGGCGAGCCAGTATCCCCATCCCTCAGGACACTTTCTCATGTTTCCCTACCATTGACAGGACCTTTTCCACGCCTGCGAGAAGGCGCGTGTAAACTTTTATCTCTTTATTTTCCATTTTTTTACCCCTGCCTTCCCTACCATATAGCCCAAAAAGAAGAGTCGTGGAAAAAGGGGAGGCTAAATCTGTCAAATAAATTCGTACATTGTTCATCTTCATTTGGTGAATGCCAAAAGTAGAGAGGACGCAGAGGCTGTGGTGTTTTAAGGTTGAAATTTATATTTTTTTTTCAGAAAAAGGAGAAAAAAAATCAGAAAGAGGCTATAATCCAAGAAAATTAAGCAAATTAGGCACATCTTGAAGAAGGGAACAGCCACCAGAAAGATAGATTTGCTTTCTTTAACTCCATCACTGCTTTTTCCCCCCTTTATCTCTTCCCTTCACCTTGGGCCTATTTTCAAGAATTTAATCACTGACCCAGCTCACAAATACTCAATCTTCACTCCTTTTACTTTTCTTTTGCTTTGTTTTTCATCAAAGCACCAACAGCTATACTCCATGTAAGCATCAATGAGGCATAATTTTTTGACTTTTTATTCATTTCTCTACACGTACTTGTAAAGTTTTCAACTTTAGGTCCTCGTGTATACTAGTATAGCTATACTTGTTTAGGGTACTTTTATTTCACTGTTTTTGATACTTTTTGTTGGTGATTCTTGATGAAGAATGTTTGCTGGGTTTTGTAGATCATGCCCAGATCTTGTTACTTGCCGATCTAGCTGAATACTTGATTGGGAATCTTTGTTGAAATCGGAAAAAAGGGAAGCTGGGGTAAGTTTGAATTTTGTTTTCCTGGTATTTCTCGAGGCGATTAGATCTTATAGAAGTCAAATTGAATCTATTATCAAATATTTCGTAAAACTTTAATTTTAGCTTGATTAGTGCATCTGGGACTGGTTTTTCATTGTTTGGTATAACAGTGACATGCGATTTATATTAACTGAGAGTGGAGTTTATCTTTTTTTAGGTTGGACTTTACAGTTTATACATCCTTTCTTTACTATAAAGGAAGGTTGAATTTTTATTGGTGTTTCCTTGAGTTATTAAAGTAAATCTGGCTTGTAGAATCCTTGGTGGTGTGGGTTTTTCTTCACGAGAGTTCTGTTTATTTCCCTTTTTTTCTTCTCGAATATTTTACAGGTCTTAGGCTTGGTATAAATGGAAGTATGTTCATCATGCATGTTTGCTTCTGGTGTTGGAGCTAATAGTGAATGCAAAGGTGGATTATAATGGTAGAAATTTTTTGCTGATAGGATCACAGATTTGCTGCATGTTTTTTTCATCCTTCATTGTTGACAGTGTGCCTTCTGGTAATTTGACTGGTGTGCACGGCTGAGTTCGCGTGAAGAAGATTGTCATTTGTATTCCTTAGAAATGATTAAAAACATACTCAATAGGCTCCCAAAGAAACAAGCTAAGTTAACGGAAAATCGTGATGGAGGATCCTCTACTTTCTCCTCGAATGCTTTGGCTAATTCAAGAAGCACTACAGGTTCTCGGTTGGGCAATTCAAATGCTGCATCTCTTTCGGGGTTAAATTCAACTTATAATTCTGATCTAAATCCTGTAACTAAATTTCTTGATGCAGTAAAAGTAAACGGTAATGCAGGAGGAGTACCATATGAGGCACTTCCTAGCTTTAGAGATGTCCCAAATGCAGAAAAGCAAAGCTTGTTTATCAAAAAGCTGCACTTGTGTTGTATAGTGTTTGATTTTACGGACCCCACAAAAAACTTGAAGGAAAAAGATATCAAGCGGCAGACATTGGTGGAGCTTGTTGACTACGTCACTTCTGCAAACGGGAAATTTACAGAAGCTGTTATGCAAGAGATTGTAAGAATGGTATCCATAAATTTGTTCCGGACACTCTCTACTCAGCCTCGTGAAAACAAAGTCTTAGAAGCTTTTGATGTGGAAGAAGAAGAGCCATTGATGGATCCTGCCTGGCCCCATTTGCAAATCGTCTATGAATTCCTTCTCAGGTTTGTGGCTTCACCAGAAACAGATGCAAAGCTGGCTAAGCGGTATATTGATCACTCTTTTGTTCTAAGGTTATTAGATCTTTTTGATTCAGAAGATCCCAGAGAAAGGGAGTACTTGAAAACGGTTCTGCACCGAATATATGGAAAGTTCATGGTACACCGCCCGTTCATTCGAAAAGCGATCAATAATATATTCTACCGTTTCATTTTTGAAACTGAGAAGCACAATGGAATTGCTGAGCTGTTAGAAATCTTAGGCAGTATAATTAATGGATTTGCACTGCCATTGAAGGAGGAGCACAAACTTTTCCTTGTTCGAGCTCTCATTCCGCTTCACAAACCAAAATGCATACCCATGTACCATCAGCAGCTATCTTATTGCATCACTCAATTTGTGGAGAAGGACTGCAAACTTGCTGATACTGTTATAAGGGGCCTATTGAAATATTGGCCAATCACAAACAGTTCAAAGGAGGTTATGTTCTTAGGTGAGCTTGAGGAAGTCTTAGAAGCAACTCAGCCTCCAGAGTTCCAGCGATGTATGGTTCCTTTGTTCCGCCAGATTGGTCGTTGCCTGAGCAGTTCACATTTCCAGGTTGGTTGTTTTACGCTTTAATATTATTATCCTCGTCCAAGCTTTATCAACTTCTTGTGGTAGTTGCTGTTGATTTTGTATCAGCCACTTTATGCTCCATTTCACTATACCTGGCTTCTGTTTAATGCCTACTAAAATTACTCCATGCATCTAACATGACGGATTAATATGCAAAGCTAGCAAAATCTTCATTGTAGCGTTTTCCACATAGAAGGTTTATCTATTTTTTGTTTTTTGGGTCCTATATACATTTTTAGTTAGAAAGTACATATCATAAAGGGAAAATTGCAGTAGCGATCCCTAACCTTTTTATTTTTTGCGGACTTTACCTTAATCTTCATTTTGTGCTAGTGAAGGTTCCTAAACTTTTATAAATATGCACCTGAGGTCCATCTGAACGAAAATCGTCCAAAACACCGTCAGTTGATTAGGAAAATTAAGGAATCAGTATCCAATAAAACTGTTCAAAACATCGTCCAAATACACCTTTCAAAAAGGTATCAACATTCAATAAATCGTCGCGGTAGCAGATAGTAGATAGTTCAAGAAATTTTCCTGGTCAACTGACTGTGTTTTGGATAGTTTTNCTTTTAAATAGCGATCTAATTTTTTTTAATAAATTAATTGGGTGTTTTCACTAAATATTGTCAATATTCAATAAATTATTAAATAATTAGAAAATACATATTCGATATGTATAGGAAACTTATTGAAAATAATTAATAAATATAAAATAATTAAAAAATACGTATCTGATACCATCGAAAATTTTAAAAATATAAAATAATATAATCTAGTTTAAAAAAATGTATCCGATACGTATCAAAGGGTATCGAATAGTATCCAAGTTTAGACATGTATCAGATACGGGTATGCAGTGAGTTTACAAGTTCCGTGCTTCTTAAATTGTCATTGTCGCTGTTGAAAAAAGTAATTCCTTGATTGCAGTTCCAAGCAAAGAGAATGAAAATATGTTAGTTCCAATATTATTTGTTAGCTAAACATAATCTCTTGAAATAGAATCCTGCTGTGTGTACAGGCAGGCTTCATACAGAAGCCTGCTAGAACACACACATAGGGGGGTGGGTGGGGTTATTTCTTGACAGTTTTTTATTCACAGTGGGTCCCACACATGAGAGTAACCTGGCCAAATTCTGTGGAAAAATTTCTGTACAAATGGCATTCTCCCTTGAAATAATATAAAGAATACATATGAAACTACCTTGTCTAGAAGCTTAATCTATTAGACTTTAATTTGGAACCTTCGTGTGCTTTGATATCATGTTATACCATGTAGGATTAATCTGATAGATAGGGGCAACTTTTTTTTATTCAAGTTGTCTTCAACAATGCTCATCCAGGTCATGTCTGTCCAAAGTTCTTGCAGTGCCTTAAAAATTTCCTAATCTCCTTTAACAAGTTATAGGATTGTCTTTATTCTACTTTCTATAGTCTGTACTTGCAGTTTGAGGAAAAATATAAATAAATCATTTTATCATTTTTGTACCATATGTCATCTATTGCTTGTTACTTGTAACCATTTTGTTTAGTTGCTTCTTGTAACAACCTGGTCTTCGTGTCCAAGTCGTTACATCATACGTATTGTTCCCTTTGGGAGAGTATCTATCCTCTTAATTCCTCATGGATTTCTATTATGTCCCCCAAGATTTCTGCCTTATGAGAGACTTATTGCCTAGTTGGTAATAGGATTCAATTTAAGTCTCTTGTAAGGCAGAGACCTTGGGTTCAAGTTTTGGGGGAAGCGATATAAATTCGTTAGGCATTAAGAGGGCAGCAACTTTGGCATGTGTCAAAGTCGTCTTATCATACAAATTGTCCGCTTTGGGAGATCTTGGGTTCAAATTTTGGGGGGACAAGATATAAATTCATTAGGGAATAAGAGTGTAGCAACTTAAACATGTGTCCAAGTCATTGTATCATACGTACTGTTCGTTTTGGAAGAGTTTGATCCCATCTTACGTTCACAAATTTCTATACCTAGGATTCGAACCTATAGTATGTCCCTTACGAGGGATTGAAGTTGAATCTTGATACCAATTAAGCGAGTTGGCCAATTGGTACTAAGATTTTATTCAAGTCTTTCATAAGGCAGAAGTCTTGGCTCGAATCTTTTAATATGCGATAGAAATCAGCGAGAGGTAAGATCGGCTTAGGCATTTCCAAAACAAATAATATGTAAGAGAATAGCTTGGGCACTAGGTTCGGGTCGTTACAAAAAATGCTCATCCCGGACCTCGTGCACAAGTCGTTATATTATATGTATTGTCCGTTTTAAGATGGCATCTATCCTCCTATCCATCATGACTTTGTGTTGCGTCCCCCAGGATTGGAATCCAAGATCTTTGTCTAATGGGTGACTTAAGTTAAATTTTGATATTAGCGATTTGAGCACGAGGCTTGGGTCATTACACTTGTAACTAAGAGCTCGTTTGAGCTGCTTTTTTATTGAAAAATACATTTTGAAATAGTAAATTGATGGAGAATGTGTGTTTAAAGAATAAAGAAAAGTTTTAGGTTTGCGTGTAATATTATTTTATTGAAGAATGTGTGATTGAAAAGGAGAGAGAAAAATGTATTTTGAAAATAATGGGAATCAAACAAGGGCTTAGTGTACGAGTTAAATAAATAAAATTAGTTTTCCTTCTGTTATGATGAAATTTCAAAATCTTTTAATACCCTTTGTGGATATGTATCCTCTGTGTGTGAACTTCGGTTTTGCTTCATTTTTAATTTTTGCATTTTTTTTCCCATTTAATGCTGACAAGGCCTTTTACTTTCAGGTTGCTTGAAGATATAACCTTTGTTTGGCCCCATTTTTGGGGAAAATGGGTTTTATAATAGTGATTCCCCCCCCCCCCCCCCCCCCCCCC